TCACTGTTTTGTTTTCATATGTCTTGTTTGTGGTGCATTTATTGTATGAATTTACTAATTCATTGATTGAGCTGGGGTGAGTAGAAGAGACTTGTAGGACTTGTTTATTCCTTTGGAGATGTAGATTTAGGTGGCCTTATTGTCCAAATAATTGCTAGATAGATAGAAGTTGTTCACAAATTGGTACCACAGCCACTTGGCTCTTATCCATATGTGCTATATATATTCTTTTCCATATTTTAGCCAAAAATCTGTTTCGTCTGTTTCCTCTGATGTGCCTTTCGTCTGTTTTCTTCCATTTATCTGGCAATTTATGGTGCAGAAAATTGCATTTTGCCAGCCAAAACTTTATTGGTCTTAATTAAAATTGTTCAAATAGTAACATCACATGAAGGCTGGCTGTGTGTACTGAGATGGCTTCATAATGTTCATGTCTTTTTTTCTCATAACCAACCACCAAATTCGCCCACAATAATAATTATTATTATAGTAAATTCATTTTAAATCACCTACAATTCTTCCCTTTATTTTTCTATTTAAAAAACTCAATTTTTTCAAATAATACCCAATGACTAGGATCCAACTAAGCATGTTACCTAATATAACTTAAAATATGATTTATTGCATTTTTCGGATTCCAAAACTACCCCTATTTATAAGTTAATGTGTTATGGGAGTGTAACTAATGACACACGTTGAATTTGGAAAGATCTCCAAATTGTTGTGATGGATGTAGGAATTAATTTAGAAACTTATTTGAAATTAAATATTAAATTCAACATTAACGTATTAGTAATCAATAGGTGATTAATGTTTTGGTTTATTTAATAAAAAAAATTATGTTGTTTTCCTTTTATGAATTATACGACTAGTAATCTATTTTATCATGTTGTTGAAAAATAATTTGATAATCTATTTATATATATTTTTAAATGAACCTATTTTTTCTCTAAATAATGTGCCTATTTTTTTCTCTAAATAATGTACCCTTTTTTTTTCTCTAAATAAAGCACCTATTACTTGTTTTATGAAAAATAATTTGATCATCTTTTTATTGTTTGTTTTATGAAAACAATTTTTTTTAAATGAACCTATTTTTTCTCTCCAAATAATGTACCTATTTTTTTTCTCTAATAATGTACCTAGTAAAACAATTTACCTAGTATAATGAACCTATTTTTTCACTAAATTTTGTATCTATTTTTTTCTCTAAATAATGTACCTATTACTTGTTTTATGAAAAATAATTTGATAATCTATTTAATTTTTGTTTTATGAATTTTTTTTAAATGAACCTATTTTTTCTATCTAAATAATGTATCTATTTTTTTTTTCCTCTAATAATGTATACCTAGTAAAACAATTTACCTAGTATAATGAACCTATTTTTTCACTAAATTTTGTATCTATTTTTTTCTCTAAATAATGTACCTATTACTTGTTTTATGAAAAATAATTTGATAATCTATTTAATTTTTGTTTTATGAATTTTTTTTAAATGAACCTATTTTTTCTATCTAAATAATGTATCTATTTTTTTTTTCCTCTAATAATGTATACCTAGTAAAACAATTTACCTAGTATAATGAACCTATTTTTTCACTAAATTTTGTATCTATTTTTTTCTCTAAATAATGTACCTATTACTTGTTTTATGAAAAATAATTTGATAATCTATTTAATTTTTGTTTTATGAATTTTTTTTAAATGAACCTATTTTTTCTATCTAAATAATGTATCTATTTTTTTTTTCCTCTAATAATGTATACCTAGTAAAACAATTTACCTAGTATAATGAACTAATTTTTTTCTTCTAAATAACGTACCTATTTTTAATTTATAAAAAAATGTGCATAAACTTCAATTATACAACGTACCTATTTTCTATAATTTATTGTGTTCCTATTTTTAATTTATGAAAAATGTACGGAAATTTCAATTACAAAGTAACTGACCTAGTTTTTTTTTTTTTTTGGTAAATAATATACCTATATTTTTATACATATATATTTATATTTATATTGTTCATGTGTACATTATTGGATATGTAATTTACATTTTCTTTTTGGTTTGCAATTTTAGGGGTGATATGTTAGTGGGAATGGCAACCAAAAGAAATGAGGTGATTGATATGCTATTAATAGGGGGTTTTAATTACAATTATGGCAGTTAATGAAATGCTTGGAATAAATTATAAATAAAATATGAAGTCTGATGGCAACGATGTAAAAACATAGGAATATTATGACCTCTTATATCCTACTGGTCATTTAAGTTTGAAATTGGGTTTTACACATAGATTTATAGAATGATGGGTATATGTCTAGGAAATAGAAATTGTAGGGACCTAATTATTATTATTATTTTATTTTATGTTTCTTCTTGGCTGGGTCAAAGTAATGATATTTCTTAGGTAGTCTGCAAAGGTGTCCCAGTCTGTAGGGACATTTCATGATCTGCACAGAGACCTTTTGCCTGTCTTTCATACAAAAAAAAGAAAAAAAAAACTGCAATTAATTAAATACAGAAAGGCACGAGATGACACCAGTGTGATTTTATTTTGTGCCATTGATATATATAAATCAGTTTGAGTTTTTCTTTTTCTTTTCAATTCATTAACTTAAATTTGATTGCAGCACAACAATATCTGGTTGGGTCTTCATGATCTCAGTTGGGTTAAATGCAGCTGCAAGGTCAGTTTCACATACACATATAAACATGTCACATTAATTACAAGTAATTTTATTTTAACTGTTGATGTTTGGCTGCAAGCAGTGTGAGAGTGAGCAATGAGCTTGGAGCTGGAAATCCGAAGTCCACAGCATTTTCTGTGGTGGTGGTGACCACAGTCTCTTTCCTCATCTCAATTGTGGCTGCAATAATTGTTCTAATATGGCGGGATACCATAAGCTATGCCTTCACAGAGGGTGAAGCTGTGGCTGCTGCTGTATCTGATCTCTGCCCATTTCTTGCCCTCACCCTCCTCCTTAATGGCATCCAGCCAGTCTTGTCAGGTAAATATATGTTAATTGTAATTAAATGTAAATCATTGTGTTGGTTAAGTGAAATTGGCTAATTAGTGTTATATTTTTATGTGATTATTAGGTGTTGCTGTTGGGTGTGGATGGCAAGCTTTTGTTGCGTATGTGAATGTGGGGTGCTATTACTTGGTTGGAGTACCATTTGGTGCGCTTCTAGGATTTTACTTCAAATGTGGTGCTAAGGTATACTTGGATTCAAAACTCGACAATATTGGAAGCCGAGGGGCCGATTGTTAACATCACTAGTCGTATTATGTGATCAACTAATAACGCTTGATTATTTTTACAGGGAATATGGTTGGGGATGATGGCTGGCACCTTGATGCAAACAATCATTCTGATATGGGTGACCTATCGGACCGATTGGAAGAAAGAGGTAAGCTACTATTTAATCTTGCATGAGTTATTGATAATATAAGGGATCTTAGGTTATTTAGTATTATTTTTATTAATATATGAAATGGAAATTTCAATTGAATTGCAGGTCGAAGAAGCAGCTAAAAGGTTGAATAAGTGGGGGGAGGTGAAGGAGCCACTCAAGTAAGAAAGCAGTTATGGACAGCAACTTGAGCTTTTTTATTTGTGGTGGTGGTAACTCATTTGGGGTTGACATCTTGTGTGGTCAGATTGGAAATTAGTTAAAAAAAATGTATTGCACAAGAGTTTTAAATTAGTTTATTATCTTCCATGAAACAATGCAGGGCCATCAATCACTGCTCTTTCCCATAGCTTTCCACGCATCTTTCTCGCATATTTGTATATAAAATCTACCAGTCTGCCTACCTTTTATTTACTACTAGAGAGAAACACTGGAAGAACTGAAACACAAACCAAAGATGAATTGCTTACGGTATGTATGCTAGTACATTTGAGAATTCTGACGCATGACAAGCACAAAATGTTAAAATTCAAAAATGAAACAATGTAGTAGACGTAGGTGAGTTCAGTTGGCCAGGGCAGTGAGCCGCCTCCTTGCACTCAAGTTTGAATTTCCTTTTCCTGTAAATTAGATTAATTTAGACTATCGCTTGTATAAAATAAAAAACAAAAACAATGTACGGCTATTACTTTTGTTTTATAAGATCCATTACCATGATCCATCACCAGAAAACATAATTAAAAGAACAAAACATGAAGATCATAAAGAAGGATGGAAGAAACTTACCTGAAAAGGGCCATGCATTTGATTGGTTGGCCCTTCTAGTCTCTAATGCCTTTCCTGAGTTAGAAACCCAAAATCCTCCGAAATTTGAACCAGGAAGTCTCATGGGTAAGTTATCAAAAGTTGGCCCAATGGTCCCTTTATTTCCAACAGATAGAAAAATGACACAATGACCCTTCCAGCCCAACCCATAAAACCCACGTCAGAGAGAGACTAGTGTCGTATTGATGGTGCAAACTATAATGTATAAATACTGAACTTCTTTTTTTCCCCTCCCTAATAGAGCTAATTATAATACCTTTTTCATGCAATTAGAAGAATGAGAAATTTGCTAACGGGGTTTAGCTGAATGGAAAATGGACAACAAGAGGTCTCAGGTTTAAAATCTCCATGGCATTTTAGTTATGTGTGTGTGTGTGTGAGAAACTTCCCTCTTCATCTAGTTTAGATTATTGCTTGTACTAAAAAATAGAAGAATGAGAAATTTATGATGTGCATAAATTTCAATAACTTTCTTTTCTAGTTTATTCAAAAAGAAAAAAAAATTGCAATGGGTGTTGGTTGGTTGTGTGGAATGTTTGCAATGATAAAAACGCTAACAATGTTGCTAGCCTAAAGCTAGGGACTAGTCATAGTCCACTATGAGCTGTGTAGAGTAGTCTCAGAACTCCAATGGGAAAAAGGGTTGACCAGAAAAAAGAAACAACTAAGAATGCAATTGGACCCACAGTCTTTCCCCTTCATTTTCATGATGGGAAATAATATGCTCACTTCAGCCCCATATCCAAATTAGCCAAGCACAACATGCCTTCCTTTCCTTCCTTTAAAAGTCTTCATTTCAAGTGAGCTGATTGGTTTTTCTCAGCAAATCCACCAGAGTCCTTCAACAGTTGTGAGCTCTGCTTGTCTTTGGAGCACAAAATTTTCAGCTCTGAGGAGTAAACTTTCTGGGTGAAATTTACGAGCTTTGTATAGTTTTTCAATTCATCCCTATGTGGGCTAAACAGTTTTTCTTTTGGCACCCTCAAAAAGGCCACTTTTAAAGTTTTCCTCTTTACCCAAAACTAGTTGAATATCCATGTTTTGATGTGGTAAAGTCATTTTTACTCATTATATGAAGCTAATGAAACACAGGTTTTGCTAAAGATTGGGACTTTATTGTGAGAAATTGCTGTTGGGGGGGCTTAACCTGGTTCAAATATGCGACAGGGTGTGGCTTGGCCACTGCATACTCTCATATGGGTATTTCTCACTGGTTCTTTGTACTGCCAGAGGCCTTCTGTAGTGAACATTGGAGCAATTTTTACTTTTAACTCTGTTATTGGTAGAGTTGCAAAGACAGCCATGGAAACAGCAGTCTCTGATGTTAATGCAGATCCAAGAATACTCAACGGGACAGAACTGAGGTTGCATATGGAGGATGCAAATTGTAGTGTATTCTTGGGATCAGTAGAAGGTACCTTAGTGATTTATATTCTTCTTTCTGTATATGAATATCATTGTTTGTTTCTTGGGTGAAATTTGAAATGATAGCAGTTGTACTGATGATCAACAATTTATATAAACTGATTTTAGGTGATTTATAGTACAGTTCTCTTTCCATCTCCTATTTTAAGTTCATCTCAGGTTGCTAAGGACTCTGTTTTATATGAAACTTCTCATATTTGTGGTAGATTTGAAGTTCCTTGAAAATGTGGAACCACTGATTTTCTCACTTCTGCTTTGAATGTTGCCTTTGATATTAAGCTTTGTTCATCTCCAATTTTAAGATAGCACTGCATCTGGTTGATTTTAGATTCTTTCACCACTATTTGCCCTTCATGAGCTGTTTTTCTTGTCAACATGTCCCATTTTCTATACGGCATCACATCACATCTCCTCGTAAAGTTATTCCTTTTAGTGCTTTCATATTCTGCCACCAGTATCAATCAGCATACCAGGTTTTTCTTTTCTTATCACATGATAATTTCCATGCTTCTTTTCCTTTCCTGAGAAGTTTGATATTGTACTTCTCTACTCTAATAGCATACCTATTGGGAGCAGTTTTTCAGGTACTTGACAAAAATATAGTAGCCATAGTTGGCCCACAGTCTTCTTCAATAGCTCATATGATATCTGAAATTGCTAATGGTCTCCAAGTACCTCTCATATCATATGCCGCCACTGATCCAAGCCTGTCTGCTCTCCAATTCCCCTTCTTTCTCCGAACTACACAAAGTGATGCCTACCAAATGGCTGCTATGGCTGATTTAATTGACTTTTATGGGTGGAAAGAGGTCATTGCTGTCTATGTGGATGATGATTATGGGAGGAATGGAGTATATACTTTAGGTGATGAACTTGAGAAGAAAATGTCAAGGATTTCTTATAAGTTGGCTTTGCCTGTACAATTTAATCTAAGTGACATCACTGAGTTGCTCAATAAATCCAAAGTGCTTGGCCCTCGTGTATATGTTGTTCACGTTGATCCTGACCCCGGGTTGAGAATCTTTACTGTTGCCAAACAACTTCAAATGATGACCAGCAGTTACGTGTGGCTTGCAACGGATTGGCTTTCTACTACCATAGATTCATTTTCTCCAACGAATCGAACTTCACTCACTGTCCTTGAAGGTGTAGTTACACTTCGTCAACATATCCCACAGTCCAATCGAAAGCGTGCATTTATATCTAGGTGGAAGAAAATGCAGAAAGAAGGTTTAGCAAGTTCTGAGCTAAATGCCTATGGACTTTATGCTTATGACACAGTTTGGGCAGTTGCACATTCGATTGAAAACTTTATAAATGAATACAGAAATATCTCCTTCTCTTTCATTGATAGATTACATGATATGAAACCATCTGAAATTGAGCTAGGGAAGCTTAAAGTCTTTGATGGTGGATCTCTTCTTCGTGGGAAGTTATTGAAGACAAATATGAGTGGTTTAACTGGTCAAGTTCAATTTAATGAAGACAGAAATCGTGTTAGTGGTGGTTATGATGTCATTAATATTGATCAGATGACAATTCGTACGGTTGGTTTTTGGACTAATTATTCAGGTTTTTCAGTTTCCCCCCCAACAACTCTTAAAGGGAGAAGAAGTAGTTATTCTCCACTGGATTATAAGCTGTACAATGTTACGTGGCCAGGTGGAAATACAGAAAGGCCACGTGGTTGGGTGATTGCAGATAATGAAAAACCATTGCGAATTGGAGTGCCAAAAAGAGCAAGTTTTGTTGAATTTGTTACAGAGTTGAATGATAGCCATACAGTCCAAGGTTACTGTATTGATGTGTTCAATGAAGCACGGCAGTTAGTCCCTTATGAAATTCCTTACAGATTTGAACCTTTTGGGGATGGTCTTTCCAATCCCAATTATAATGAGCTTGTGAAGATGGTTGCAGAAAACGTAAGTGAACTTTGCACATTTTAGAATTGGTCAATCCAAAGAAAGCATAAATGTGACTCATTTTTGGTAGGTGAGATAACCTACCAATACATGGATACTTTATGTGAGTATGAGTTAACACATGCAGATAGCCCAGAAGAATCTAATATCCAGTAGTCTGACCATATTATCTATCTTGTCCATTTGATCTAATACTTCTTTTTAATTGAAAATTTGTGACAGGTATTTGATGCAGCTGTTGGGGACATTGCAATTGTGAAAAACCGGACATTGATTGTAGACTTTTCTCAGCCCTATGCTACCACCGGGCTAGTGATAGTGGCACCAATAGACAATTCAAAGTCAAATGCTTGGGTGTTTCTTAAACCCTTTACATGGGAGATGTGGTGTGTCTCTGCAGCTTTCTTTGTGATAATTGCAGTGGTTATATGGACTCTTGAGCATCGAGTCAACAAAGATTTTCGAGGTCCCCCTAAGAGGCAGCTCGTTACAATGTTTCTGTAAGCCTTCTGTATTTTTAAGTGGAGTCCATTACAATTCTTCCTGAACAGTTTGATGTTGCAATTAAAGAACCACTTAAATTCTTGGGAGACCAGGTTCTCACATCATTCAACTCTTTCGTATTGCAGGTTCAGCTTCTCAACACTTTTTAAGAAAAATCGTAAGCAAATATTTGGGATTTGCAATATAATATTTCTTAGTTTGTCTTGTTTCTCAACTTTGCACATAAATTAAAAACTGTTGTATATTGCTATATAAGAAGTTCCTTACCACAAATAACTTGGCACAAATCATCTTATTACACAACAACATGGGATGTTCAGACAAGTTAGTAACATGAATCCCAAAAATTAGCAAGTTCTTTCTAAGGTTTCTATTGATTACTAGTTTTCCTGTTGCATATTGTTTATGATTAGTTTAACAGTCATATAATCTCTTCCTCATAAGTTTATATTCTTATTGAAAGAATGAAGAAAAGTAGCCTGCACTGCTCTGCTCTGCCATCACTTCTATTTCAATATCAATTTATTGAAATTTTGGCAGTCAAATCACATTTTAAGTGAAGTATGTACCTTTTTCTTTTATCCATTACAGAAGAAGATACTGTGAGCCCACTTGGGCGACTGGTGATGGTGGTGTGGCTTTTTCTATTGATGGTGATCACATCAAGCTATACTGCAAACTTGACTTCAATCCTTACAGTTCAGCAGCTTTCATCACCCATCACTGGAATTGATAGTTTGATTGCAAGCAATTGGCCTATAGGGTACCAAGTAGGGTCATTTGCTTATAGCTATCTGACTGAAAGCCTCTACATTCCTAGGTCAAGACTTGTTCAACTAGGCTCCCCAGAGGAGTATGAAAAAGCACTGCGGCAAGGGCCGTATAATGGAGGGGTGGGAGCTATCATAGATGAGCTTACTTATATTGAATTATTTCTTTCAAGGCAAACTGATTTCGGAATTATTGGGCAAACATTTACCAGGAGTGGATGGGGATTTGTAAGTACCTCTGTTTAACTGCAATTAGATGTGTGCAAACATGCATGCTTAATATTTTTGAGGTGCCATTAGTATTATTTTAAGGATTTTTTTTCTCATTTTCCTTCACTATGTGAATTAGGCTTTTCAAAGAGATTCTCCCCTTGCTATTGACATGTCCACTGCAATCTTGAAACTTTCTGAGAGTGGAGAGCTTCAGAAGATCCATGAGAAATGGTTCTGTAAGATGGGTTGTCCTAGTGAGAAGAATCTGGAGTCTGAACCTAACCAACTCCACTTGACCAGCTTCTGGGGTCTATATCTACTATGTGGCATCTTCACTCTCACTGCGCTTCTCATCTTTCTGCTAAGAGTGGTTCTCCAATTTGTCCGGTACAAAAAACAGCAAGCAGTCCCTCCCTCTCCTTTATCCTCCTCAAGCTCATGGAGTACTCGATTTTCTCAGTCCATACACAACTTTGTTGACTTCATTGATGAGAAGGAAGAAGCTATCAAAAGAATGTTTATTCACGGTGGCAATCCTCAAGGTCAGGCTACCTGATCAATACATAGATATGAAAGAATAAGCTTAGTTATGTTAGTTCAACTGAGAATTCTGATAGTTAACAGAGATTTTTTTTATTTGATTTGATCTTTTACGATATTACAAACAAATTCATAGAGCATGTATACAATATATCACTTTCTTCCCTTAATGCTTCAATGAAAATACTCTTCTTATGGTAGCTGTGGGCAGCTTTGAATTTTTTTGGTTGGAGTTTAATTTTGTCAGACACATTGTTAAGAGAGATTTGGTTCCCATTCTGGCTTTGGTTGGTGCAGATATGATATCATAATATGACTTGCTTTTCATCCATATTATCACTTTTGCACAGTTGACAAGTTTATGATTACCTTCTATTTACTGAGGTTAGATGCCTTTCTGGTGGTGCGCGCGTATCCTTCTAGTACAAATTGATTCTTGTCCTCGAGTTTTGTTTTCTTACTTGGGAGTAACAGTAACCTACGTCAACATTGTAATGGTCATTTCATTCTCTTTCCAGCTATAAGAATCCTAAAGTAACATTCTTGAGTTTCTGTAACACCAAACCAGAGTTACCATCTTTTACTTTTTGGCTATGCAATGCAGCATGGTACAGAATGGACAAATTCTGAATTCAAAGTCTCTTAGAGCATCCAGTCTCTGAATTCTCAATTTTCTAATGTAGGCCCCACCTGCAAGGAATGTAAAAAAGAATGCACATGTGCATCTAAATTTGTATCTCACAATTGTGATGCAAATTTACAATCGTTTATATCTCCCCATTGCAGGTGATTTCAATCACAAATAATGTATATTTAACATACACTTCATTATACAACCCCACCCCTGGAGATGCTCTTAGAGCATCCATAGTGGGGAGGTGTAAATTTGGAGGTGTAAAGCCACTTTTACATCTTTACACCTCCAGGAGATGCAAATGTCATTTTTGCTCTAATAAGTTGGATGCAAATTCAAATATGTAAATCCGTTTTTCATGTATTAATTTGTTTTTTGTGTTAAATTTTTTTTATGTTAATATTTTTGTGTTAATTTGTGTGTTAGGTTTAATTATTTTATCTAAACAAATTGACATAAATTTTTTAAAATTCCAATAAGATATAATTTCATTCAATATGATGTAAATAAAATTAATCTGAACCGTCAGCTTTGATATGAATTTATTCTTCACCATTTAAGTGTAATTATTAGTTTCATATTTCAATTTGAATGAAATATGGCCATACATTAGAGAAGAACTTTGTACATTTGCATCATTTTATTAACTTCCCCATATTGATGAATCTCAGCCACGCCCTGGGCCCATCATTTTAATAACTTCCCCATCTTTTAGGTAGCTTTCATCTCTCCTCTCTCTTGGCTTTTCTGTTATGGGATCCACTTGGGTGGGTGTAAAATTAGATGTACATTATCTTTTTTCCTATCTCACGGTTGTGATGTACATTTATAGCCATATACACCTCCCCATTGCAGGACATTCCGGCAACCAAATGTGTATATTTGACATACACCTCCATATACACATTACCATTGTGGATGCTCTTACTAAACAGCTCTACACATGGAGAAACACTTCCATGGAGATATAACCCCTCTCCTTTTCTCACTCACTACGTGATGAGTGAGAAAGGGAACGGAATATACATCCGGGATATATATCATGGAGCAAAAGTGTTAAAATGTTGAAAGAAAAATAGTCTAACCCACATCCTTACCTTACACTATAAATTTTGGAACCGAAATGCGTACTAAAACAAAAGGGGGTAAGAAAGACTTTGAGGTACGATTTGAATAATTTCTTTAAAGTGTTATTTGCCTCCACTCAATCCAGTTTGCTAATGGGTTCTTGGCAAATCACTTCCAGGATACAATAAAGTCTGGAATCTGCGAATAGCAAAAACTCGAAGAATTCCCTTAGAAATTGTTATAAGAAAATTGTATGATTGTAGAAGTGAAGAGAGAATTGGAAACTATTTAGGATTGGTTTATGATATCTTGCTATGTTAACAATAGGAAGTATATTTAGAGTATAGAAGGCATCCATTCAATTTATCTAAAAGTGTGCAACGCCACTTTCTCAAAGGACACTACCAAATATCATGTTTGTTGGTATGTACCATTTCAACCAAAAGACATATTAGTTGGTATGTACCATTTAGCCAAAATATATATTGACAAAAAAAAAAGACATTGATTAACCAAAACTCTTTGCAGTAGAAATGGAATTTGACTAACTCTCTCTATATATTATTGAAATCTTCAACAATCCTTCTCAATTTCAATAATATGTATATATATAGTAATCCACGCTTCTCTCAAATATAAGTGAACAATTCCCCACCGAATTGTAACACAATCAAACCAATATTATCATGCATACAAGAAGGTGTCTTTGGAAAAAAAAAAAATCAAAGTTTTAACAAAGCCTATGGTGGCCTTAGTTTAAACCTAGTCTTCTTATGTAAAACCGGAATTACCACACACATGATTATATCATATTTCCTTAAAGAAATTTTTGTACTAATTAAGCACTATTATGGCCTTGTGCTTCATCCTGGTTTCATGAGCCTTTACAAGAGAAAACCCAACTCTTGGTAGAAGTGGCACCACTTCTTCTTCCCATATCCATGCTATTGTAGACATAAAATTATTTAGGTCATGTTTGGGAGTGCTTCTGGAAGGGCTAAAAGCACTTTCTGATAACTAAAAGCGCTTCTGACAGCGTTTGGCAGAAAAATTTAGAAGCGCTTCTGGGTCATAGTAGCGCTTCCTGGAGAAGCACTTGTTATGTACTTCTTCACGAAGCACTCCGAAGTGCTTTTCCACAAAGCACTTTAATTTTTTATGAAAATTCAAAAAAATTATAATAAAAGTGCTTTTGTTAGAAACGCTTATGAACAGAAGTACTTCCTAGAAAAGCAGTCCCAAACGAGCCCTTAACGTCAGTAAGGGATAAAGTCCCATCCTCCAAAACATAGCAGTCTTGCACTGATCATCTTGGAATGGGATATATATATATATATATATATATATATATATATATATATATATATATATATATATAGAATTTTAGTGCTTTTGCAATCACTTAACAATAACTTGTTATTACCCATTAAACTTCGACAAAGTTGGGTTACCATTATTGGTGATTTCCAGTAAAGGGTTTTAGGCCCATTCCACTAGATGTACTAACTACCAAATTTCTCGAGAGTGCTTTTGTAAACAGATCCGCCAAGTTATTACCTGACTTAACGTAAATAATATTAATAACTCCGTCTGTTATTAATTGTTTGACATATTCATGTCTCAAGAGCATCTCCAAGGGAGATGTCAAATGCTAAACATCAAATTTAAATTTGATGGCTGATGTGGCAATTTGATATTTACACATTTTTACGCTCCACCCGATATGTTAAATAAATAATTATTGTAACAGTCAAATCATTAAAGATAAAGAAGAAAAAAAATAAAAAAGGAAAATTATAAATGAAAGTAACAGCCATCTGTCTTTAAAAATAATAAAATATTCATTTGACATCTTGCTTTTGGGATGTCAAAAATAACAGCTGAACCTCCAACCTTCATTCCACATCAGCTTTGACAATTCGGTTGGAGTGATGTGAGATGTTATTTCTAGCTGTTAAATATCTATGTGGCACTTTTGATATATCGGTTGGAGATGCTCTAATATGTCTAGATTTTCCATTATACACCTTACTATAAACTCTATACAAAATAGCCTCGCTATAACCAAATACTCTGCTAATTGCTTTCCAATGAGCATACTCAAGCTGTGCAATGGACCTGCCATAATTATTAAGCATAGTTTCATTAGGCTCATAAGGAGTTGTTGCTTCTTTAATTTGCAAATGCTTAAATTTAAGAAGCAATTTCTCAATATAATGTGACTGACACAAGGCATAACCCCGATTATGCTTCTTACTTTAATTCCTAAGACAGTATCCACTTTGTTCAAATCCTTCATCTTGAACTTTGAATTTAGATACTTCTTAGTTTCATATACGCCTTTCATATTTGTACCAAAAATTAACAAGTCATCAACAAATAACACCATAGTCATTTATGAATTTAGAATATATGCACTTATATTCTCAGTATCTTTGTCACTTGGTTCAAGTATGGGCTGCAATTTCGGGTTCAAGACATATAAGACATTAAGAACAGTAAGTAAGAAACGCATTTTGTCCTTCCATCGGGTGAAATTTGTTCCATCAAATTTGTCTAATTTGTAGACATCTTGATTGATAACCTTCATAGCCATGCTATCAGATTTGATCTCCATGACGAATAATACTTTAAGATTGTTGAGTAAAAACTGAAATATGAAGAAAGACTTTGAGGTACGATTTGAATCGTTTCCTTAAAGTGTTATTTTTCCCCACTCAATTGAGTTTGCTAATGGGTTCTTGGCAAATCACTTCCAGGATACAACAAAGTCTGAAATCTACGAATAGCAAAAACTCAAAGAATTCCCTTAGAAATTGCTATAAGGAAATTGTATGATTGTAGAAGTGAAGAGAGAATAGGAAACTATTTAGGATTGGTTTCTGATATCTTGCTCTGTTAACAGTAGGAAGTATATATAGAGTATAGAAGGCATCCATTCAATTTATCTGAAAGTGTGCGACACCAGCCAAGCCTATGCAGAGAATCTCAGTTTGTCCTTCGAAAATATATAACAATGTCATGAAAAATATAAATGACACAATTCCTCGACTGTGGATACAAATTAAACCAAGGATAAAAACCATGCAAAAGCTTGGGGTAATTTTAGGTGATGTTTTGACATCTTTGGTCCCTACATGGATAAAAACCATCCTAAAAGAGCAGGACCTGCGTGGCTCATTTATTGGTGGGGGGTCTCAGATATTTTGTACCACATGAGGTGACAAATGCGCACAGCGAGCGCACCCCAACCACCTTTCATGACAAATGGATCCATAAAGCCATGACCAAGTGTTGGGTGCACAGAATAATTAGCCAACCCCAAAGACAAACAAGGGTGTGTGTACAAGGAACACATGCTACACGTTGGCTGCTTTTTCTTGGGAAGATTTCTGTCTGAAAGGAAACAATATTATTCACCCAAGAAATAAAAGACACAAATTGGTTACCTTTTGTGAGGAACACAATTTCTGGTCTCTTCATCCTATAATAA